GTATATATATATATATATCTATAACACTCCTAAAGAACTATATATCTTTTTGTTATGTAGAATCTTACCTTTGGTATGAACACCAAGGCGATAAGACCCAAAAGTAAATATTTTCCCACCGATGCTTTCAGCAACATTTAAAGGCAAATTCTGAAATTTTTTAAAAATATAAAAAGAATACATTACAGTCGTTCAAACCTCTTTGAAAAAAAAAAAGAAATGTTTAAAGCTGGACATACATTTATGTTGACAACTCTACATAAACCAAGCAGATACAACATTAAAGTAATGAAGAAAGAAGGTGCAATAAGTATACTTCAACAGAATTGACAGAGAAAGAAAAACTAAATTCAATATCTTCAACAGATCTGGGCTGTTTTTTGCCATCTGAAATAAAACATTTCATATATGTTTCAAATAATATAGTAGCAGATGTACATAATATATTTATCATGATCAAGTTCATACAAGAAAGTTGGTTAAACCCCTGTTAGAAATGTGTATTAAAAAGTTCACATTTTCAGTTGCCCAGAATGTGCATTATGAAGCATTATAATCAAAGGCTATTTTTCAGTTTAACACATAATTCATTACTAACAAATATTCAAACAAAGAAGCTGAATTATTTTTGGTAAGTGTTTTTAAATATTTACTAAAATGTACATTAAGTCAATTCATGAATATGACAATCTCAGGGAATATTATAAACTATAAAAGGTATGAATAAAAACTGTGGGTAGAAGCAACACAAAGTTTTTTGTAATTTTTATCTCCATAAGGAAGAATAAAGATATAGTACATGTAAACTTAAGTTGTTTAACTTACAAATAAACATACTTTCATACGTAAAACAAAACAAAAACAATAACACTACAGCTGTTTACAGCCTAAAAATTCAATTATTATCAGATTTCGCATTCTCAATATGTAGTTGGACACAAGAACTGGGCATTCCTATTATATTATAAGTCCAGAAGTTGACAAACACCTTTGACATTTAGGGGCCAGGATAGTGGCATAACCCAGAAGGAGCAATGGGACTTATTCATCTCATCCCTACCATGCTCCAAGAACATCTGTGACCCAATTTTCAAATTCATAAAGGTTATGTGCTTTAGACAAATGCATAAATACACAAACTGACTTTTTAGTGCTTTGAAGGATCAATCATTAAATTTTTCATGTATAAGGTACAAATAGGTGTGACCTAATTTTCAAATTCATAAAGGTTATGTGCTTTAGACAAATGCATAAATACACAAACTGACTTTTTAGTGCTTTGAAGGATCAATCATTAAATATTTCATGTATAAGGTACAAATAAATTATATAAAAGACATTAAACTTTCAGTACTAATTATCTCAACCATGTCTAAGCAACCAAAATAAAGCATAATTACCGACACATGTAATTATCAACCGTTGGTAAAACATCATAAATCTAAAAGTTTTTTCAGGGTATTTTGTTATTTACTGAAAGTTTAAATGATGTACCAATCTTTTCTGTTTTATTTAATTACAAGCTGAGGTAACTGTTCTTTGTCCGGGTTGTAAACTTTACAAAATGTGTGAGTGGATGCTATCATAAATAACAAAAAATCCTAACTTTGACACAATTTATTTATAACATATCACAGTATTCATTATTACCTCATCAAAAGTTTTGTATAAGCTTTAAGAACTTAATATGTCTATACTTAAAACATAGAATACACTGTGTGATTCTTAAGGTGACTTTGAAGGAAGAGGTAGCAGCCAAAGAAGTGGTGGTAGGGGTGCTTTCTGTTACTCGGTTTCAACCCCCAGCTCTTAATGTCACTCCATAGTGTTTCACGTAATTAATTACTAGTTGGCCATTGGCTGAAGAAGTGTCTTACAGGCTAAAGTTCAAAGGTCATGGGTCAAGGTAGAAAGTTGATACAACTCAAAAAAGGTTCTTTATATCAGCCTTATGGTGGCAGTTGGAGTAGAAACTTCAGCTGAGTTTATGTGTTATTGCAATAGTGGTGGCCATTATTTTTTCATTGCATTCCTCCATAGAGAGTGCTAGCACATTCTCCGAGATCATGCCGCAATTTCTACCTATATTGTCATTCATCACCTTCTCTAACTCGGAATATTACAAAGGTACTTAAAAAGTCATAGATAATTAATTTCACATACATATTATATTGGAAAGATACTTGCCTTTCTTAAGCTGACTTCCTTAATCCAATCTTTTACCAACTGGTTAATCTTTCCCAATACTTCCATCCTATAATGTAATCAGAGAGGGATGTTTAATTAACAACTAAAACAAAACATCTGAAAATCATCAATACAGTTAATTTCAAGAGCACATGAACTTCAGGGCAATAATAATAAGTACCTTGGCCTCACAGTTGAATTAGTTTTTATTTTAAGTGTAAAATACTTCATGTGCCTCAAAAACAAAATCTCACTTTGTTAATTTCAATTATAAACTTAATATTCTTTTCTGCTATTTTCTTGTTTGTCTCTGCACAAATATCAATGTCTAACAACTTCACAAAATAGTCATTTTCGTACAAAACTCGTAATTTTAATATCATATTGCTTAATTAATGAAGACTTTTAACTTAAAACAAAGAATATTTACTAAAGTTTTGCAAGCATATGAGGTTTATATTATTATGATACATCTTTCTGGCTGCTGTCTACATAATTTAGATAGAGTTACAATCACTGCACATATATATTGTAAATACACCAGCTATGGAACATGAAGTGTAATTTGATAAAAATGAACCTGTGTGTTAGTTCATCATCTGTTTCAAACAATCCATATTGTTTCAGGCTTTCCTCAAGTTCTTTTGTTCTCTGTATTTCTATCGGTTTTGGGCTTGCAGTATTAATTGGGGATGTAACTCCTAGCATTTTATCTTCTACAACAATTGGTGGTTACAGCTGAATATCTGATGAAAATAGGCTTCTCCAATGTATGATTTAACTGAAAAACATTTACACTGTTTTACTATTCTAAATCACAAAGGATTCACACAAATGACAGGTTTATATAAAAAAATAATACATTATAAGTTTAAAAAACTTGTTCAGTTAATTTAGTTTAGCAATATCAATGTTTAAAATATTATGGTTTAAAAGCCCACAGATTATTTTCTTTGGTAATGTCTCTATTCAAAAACAAAGTAAATTTACCTGCATTTAAAAACTGTAAACAACAAAATCACAAAATAACTACAGTTTTGACGTTTTTCTGTACATGTTCAGTATATGGTTACACGTGTATGTAAGGATATCCTGCCAGTATACATTCACAAATATGTTCTATAACAATAACATCATTTTTCTTAGCCAAATGAAATGCACAGAAAACCAAAATAATTCATAATAAAACATAGAACTTTCTATGTGCTGTTAGCAAAAGTGGCTTAGTATTCAGAAGCAGTTATATTTTTCAAATTCAGCACAACTACACTCAGTGATCTGGATATACAGAAGATAAGAGCACATTTTCCACTACGATATTTTGGGAGAGAGGTACCTAACATACTCCTAAGGAATAAAACTGCTTCCACACATATGTAACACAATAAAGCAATACTTAAAATAAATTCATCCTTTTAAGACTTCACACAGCTGCTGCATGTATTATCAGTCAACACATGACATCAGGCATGAAGGACAAAGAACTAAATGCTCACAATTATAAATGAGTGCTCCATACATTAATTATTTACTTCATTTCTCTTTCTTCCCATTATAGAATACATCTTTTTCACACCTTATGAAACCAGTTAATTGTTTTTATGAAGATTTATTTTCAAAAAGAAATTTAATATACAAATTCTCACTTATTTCAACAGATACCACTATCCAACTCACAGCCTTACTTCAAGAAAAAAAAAGTCATACATATCTGATGTTTGAAGTATATGTTACAATTAGAAGGAATCTTGGTAAACATTTAAAAACTGATTTCATAAGGCTAAGGTGAAATATTTCATCAGAAAAGCATACAGATAGGTTTGCATTATGTTACACTAAGAATAAAAAAATACAGATATTTCTTTCACCCATGAAATTTGAAAACTATGAAATGTTAATTTGTAATCTCATTTTCTGGCTTTAATGACTAGTTCTAATTGTAATTGGTAAATTATCAAAGTTAATGCAACAAGCACTTAGCCTGCATGATTAGGCATGACTTTTGCTAGGTAATGGGTAAATAATATTTAATTTAATGTCAACAATTTTGTTTTTCATTTTTTGTTTGAGACTTCTTATAAGTTATACTATTTCATTTGGTACCGAAGACCACTGTTCATACTTACTAAACTAATGTAATATAATAAAAATTATACTTACCTTGTAAATATATTTCACTATTCTGTTGTTAAGTGCACTCTCACTGAGTCTATCTAGACTCTAGACTAACGTTTTAGTTATAGAATATTGTCATTACCTTAAACTTTAAGAATTAATGTACACTTCTTTATAACTGAAACTTTAGTACACAGTAGTAGTAGTACCACTAGTGAAATTGAAACACTGCATGATATATTATACTAAGGTATATTACTATTAATATTAGGCTAATTTATTAAGCCGCCATTTCTAAGAAATTTCACTGTTTGAGGTCTTATTAACAATAAAAGTGTTGCGAAAACTAAGAGTTAGTATTGGCTTTAAATCTAATTAGCCTAATCATACACCAATCAATATACTGTATACACTATTTTTTGTACTTATCTTTAGTTGAATGAATGCGTTTAATTTTTAAATTAAACAAATTAACATTCAACAAATATGGCAATTAGAAATTATCAGTTTCATCAAGCAGCTAATAGTAATAATGGTAATATTAATAAACATAAGTTTAAAACGTTGTTCACCTATTCTCTACAATTCTCTTATGTTCATATTTAGCCTAACATTAGCAAAAACAACAACAACAAAAAGAAATATTGAAAAGAACATAGTCTACTAACTAGTATTAATATAAACTTTTAAAAGTAAAAAAAGACTACAAAATTAGGTAATGCACTGCTAGTTCCGTGCAACTCTTTAGACCTCTGTCGGTAAAGTTTTGTGTAAATTTTAGAAAATCGATTGTATGTGATGTGGCTAATAACCAATTAGTTATATAATTTAGCTTAATGCCAATAACAGATTTAATTGAAAAGCGAAATTACCCAAATGGTAAATTAATGCACTGTAATCATTATAACTAAGAACGGTATTTTAAATTAACTTTGTTCATTATTGGATTAATTTTTTATTTTGATTTCTATAGGCAGCTTGCTTTTGTGGTATTCAGATTCAATGATATCCAGTAGATACGATTAAGAGTATCCGAAAAACGCAGATTCAAGAAATGATATGCACATAATAAATCGAATTCGGACAGCAAAGTCAAAGTAAAAAACAACAACAAACAGAAATGAAGACGAGAAACAAAACTTTTATTCACAGTAATTGTATAAGTCTTAATTAACTTACTGACTGGCTTACAACTTTCCGTTCACTTTTACTGGCTAGTATAGTGAATAAGGGCTTTTCCAAAATTTATATACCAGGAGAAAGACAAAGAAATTCTGACTTACTACCCAATGTCAGACAAAATAAAGGTTAAAAATGTAATATACTATAACTTAATGGTGCATACGTCACTGATTATCCAAAATAACACATATAGAGGGTTGAGCGCGTTAGATTAAAATATTTTGAATTTGTAAATCAGTAAGTAGAGTGACAACCACAGCCGATCTAAAATCGCATTGGTGTATTAGAACTATATTTTAACATTGTTTGGCGTTTGGTATGAAGTGTGATACAACTGGAAACGAGTTGCTTTTGGGAAGGATATGCCACAGTCCATTCTTACTCAAAATCAAAAGCGCCAACTGGAGGAGGTGGGAGGATAGGGGTAGCCACCCGCCCAGAGCTTTTTTTTTTGAGAAATGTAAAACGCCTGGTTAATGGGCTATGTTTATGGAAAATTACTAATATTAATATATATATAGAGTATAAAGTCGAAATTTCATTTTTTGTTTGTTCCTCATAATTCACTAGTTTTTCATAGCTATTACAGTTTATATATGAACTCCGAAACGTGCTACGTCATCAATAGTCCGTTTCACCTATTTTGCAAACATTATGGTTCAACTTTGCCCCCCCCCCCCGCCAAGGTCTTGCTGAATTGACGCTACTGTGCAAAATATTCATGCACTAAGATTATAAAAATGTGTTCAAATCAAGGATTTAGAATTTCCAAAATGGGGATATCCCGTATACTTAATGACCAAGGGGTATCCTAGTGTGTAGTTGATCACAAATTGTGCACCTATAAAAATGCTTGTGCTGTTGTACAATCTACCTATATAAGTAAGTTCAAGTGGATAAATATTTAAAAAAAAACATATTTAATATTATAAGATTCCATTCCAGAATTGATAAATAAATGTGTTTACTATAATGTTCTTAATTTTGGGGATCATTTGTTACTAGACCTGTATATATGAGGTGCAATAAGGCTGCATGTATTAAAAAATGATGAAGTTAAAATATAATTGTACAGTTGAAAATATCCTTAGGAAAAGCTCTGTTAATGACATTAGAAAACAGAGGAACATGGATCAACTTGGTGCACCAAGACCATCCAGAAAGAGACCCGCAACAAGTTGTACCAAAGCTGTAGTAAGCAAAGTGAAGTGTCTTGTGACAAGTGAGAAGCCACGAACACATAGGTTAGTAGCAAAAGTCGTCCACATGCCTCAGGCAAAAGTATGCAACATAACCAAGACATATCTGGTGAAAAATCACACGCTTACGAATATTTCAGTTTTTAGCCAAAATGTATATATATTTTTACCAGCATTAAGAAAACACAGAACATGCCGTGTTTTATATATCAGTGTGATTTAACGTAATCAACGCAGTGTTACTTCAGAATATTGTTGCACTAGCGTCGCCCCTTGTGCTGGGAAACGAGGAATTGAGCGTGGTGGATCACTTCACTTACTTGGGAAGTTGCGTGAGCTCGGAGGGAAA